TTTTCCCAAAATCGATAGGTAAGTTTCAAGTTTAATTACACCTACAGAAAGTGAGCTGAGTAAAAACTTGTAATAATATGATTTGTAGTCCATATCATGAGGAACAAATAGCGTTTTTATTGGAGTCTGTAGCTTCAATAGTTATCGAGATATGGAAGATAACGCAAACCTCCATTTCAGCCGAAAACGCGTTTTTTCGCATTATAAAAACGCCTGTACCGAGAGAACTGAGCGGATTAGAATTTTTTTAAAAATTTTTTTGTAGTATGAAAATATGTATAAATAAGTGTACAAAATATAATTTTTTTTAAAAATGGTGAGCGACCTTTCTGGATGATTTCACATGGACTAACCCGTAATAAATATGGATCGCCGTGAAAACGTCAGGCCTGACGCATTTGTTACTGTTTGTTCACAGTTCCTGTGTGACAGTAGGGAAGAAATTATCCTTCCAAGTGACAGAGGATGTCAAGAACTTTGCATTCTCTAAGGAAGATTCCTCTTTCCTAGTGGCTAAGAGTCTGTGTGTGTGTATGTGGCGTGGTTGGCTATTCAGAAGCAGGAGCTGACTTGAATTTCCATGCTCACTGTAAGTGCAGTTATAAGGCATTTATGATTTCAGTGTCATTCTCTTGTACTTGTCACAGTGATTGGAAATACCATTAGAAGGAACTGTAATTGTTTCTCTCTGTTGAAAGTCCTGCACATTCTGGGATGTGACCCTTTGTAGTTTGCTAGAACTGACATTTCAGGGGAACATGTTACTGTCATCTTCAAAGAGTAAGCAGAGTCCTCTGAAATGTCAGTAAACTTATATCAAACTGCATGGTTTCACACCCCTGTGGACAGTTCTCTTCCTCACCGTTGCTGTGAAGACCCGAGATCTTACACGGTCCTGTAGCAGTGCTGGTGAGTGAGCGTGGAGTGCACAGCCTGTCCATCCCCTGAGGTATGTGTTACTTCAGATGTTTCATTTGGGCTCCCCTGTTCATGCAATTGATATCTAAATAGCTGGAAAGTTGTAAGTACATCCGCTGCAGGAGTGAGTTGAACTGTGAGGTTTATTTGGAATGCTTAGTAATTGTGAGCTATGGGATGATCATTGACAGTGATGGAGATACAATATTTAATAATTTTTAAATATCTATCTTAGGATATTTACCTTGTGTTATCAGATTTTGAAATCACGAACTACATATATTAATCAATTATGGGTAACGTCAGGAACTGAAGAATCATGTGTTACAAAAAAACTTGGAATAATAATCCCAGTTTAAAAGCACACCACAGAGAGTATTGTAACATAAATAGGGATATTTTAAGAGTGAAAAAGTATTTTAATAAAATTGTAGCAACTTCCAATAATCAGGCTAGGGCAGCTTTGAAGGTCATAAGGAACGGAACCAGAAATGATCATGTATCCACTAATGTAACTTATTTAAAGATAACAGGCAAAAATATCCAGAAATATGAAGACATTGTAAACTCATTTAATAATATCTTTCTAGATCACATGATGTGATAAACTAATGTGGCTAATAGATGAGAGACCTACAGATTATTTATATACTTCCTTTTTGCAACCCTTTCAAAAAATGGTATTAATAGAAAGAAATTTTAATGAACTAGAAGAAATAATACGGTTAATGAAACCTACATTAGCTTGTGAAATTATTTTTTTTTATCACTTAGTCGGGGTTTACATGTCAGCAGAGTGCATCGTGGTGTCTGTAATGGTGCAAAATTGCTTTGCATATTGGCATATACAGGGTATCCCAGGAGGAACATGGTATTAGTCATTCTAAGAAAAAAAGTGAATATGTACATGTCCTATTCGAAACGTATTCCGAGATAGAGCTATTTCACTGTACACCCTGCAGACGAGCAACACGCCATGAGCTCACGTGAGTTGCAAAGTGCATTGATGTTGATGGTGTAATTTTCAAAAATGGATTATACTAGGTAAACTGTACCAACATTTTTCGCTTGAACAATATATACCGGTATTAGAAACATTACGTAATATCTCTTTCTTATCAACAATTTTGCAACTGTACAGTTTTATAACTCTTATCTCAGAAGCCACTGGGAGTAGGACATTTGTACACGTACACTATTCTGCTTAGAATGGCAGATACTGTGACCTTACAGAATATTGACCTTTCCCCCTGGGACATCCTACTTACCTGACCCATGTAGAATGGTTTTTTAACCAGTCAAGTAGTCTTTTCCGTGATCTTATCTCCCCTGCAGTGGCAGATGAAAGTCTCCTGGACATTTAAATGTGTCATTTAGGCCCCTTGCACATGGGGCCACTGTGGTCGCACCACCGTTAGTGGTGCTTCTGCTGGAAGCTCAAATTGTATCCTTTTGCACACGGGGCCACCTTGGTCGCGCCACAAAGTGGCGCTTCTGCTGAACTAAACAAGTAAAATACAAGTGGCTCTATTGGACACTACCGTGTGAAAGACACAACATCGGACAGTGGACTGACATGGTGGCATGACCAGCCTGGTTGCTCGTAAAATCGCATCCTCTGGCCACCGCATTCCTGGAAGCGCCACCAACGAAGCTTCCACCACCACAAATCGCTCAGTGTGAAAGAGTCCATGTAAACGCAATGGTGCACATGGTCGCGCTGCCGTGGTGGCGCGACCACGGTGGCCCCGTGTGCAAAGGGCNCTCCCCCCCCCCCCCTTCCATTTACTCCAGAGCTGACATTTTGTTTACCACCTGACGAAAGTTTCACGTTTATTTTGCTCTCACTACTATATTCACTCGCTTGTAACAGTTCATAAAACACCTCATCACTTCCAATCATCTTCTTGCTAGGACCTGTCATGTTTAGTTGAACGAACTTGGACCCATGATAGCTTTCATGCAATCAGCAACTTCAGTAAATCTCAATTTACTTTCCTTTTGTATTACAGTCTGTTTGCCACACAAGAATGTGAAGTGTCAGCGAGTCCCTTGTTATATGGGATCCGTGTTCACAGAGCGGTTACTAGGAGATGCAACAGATGTCGCGAACTCCTGCCAGGCTGATAAGGATGTCTGCGTTAGGTGGCAGCACCGCGCAAGGCCCTAATAGCGATTAAATAGAAAGCACGTACTGAACACATTGGGTGCTGTCCAAAGAATTTTTTCCTAATGGTGAAATTGAAGATGAATTTCTTATGGGTGTTTCTTAAATTAATATATTTTTCAGCTGTGAAAATTGCTATTTATTGTGAGAATCATACGGAACACAAAAAATCAAAGATTTTAATGTTAAAGTAGGTGGTGCATAGTGTAATTACCGCTGTTTGCTGTTACAGGCGCCTAGAGGAAAGGAATGAGCGAGACGAAACAAACCGCACTTTTTACAGCCACCAAATCGATACACCCTGTATTTGCTGAAAATGTAATGTTGTTATGTGAAAGGACTCAGTGGCTTTCTTAATGTCACTGGGATGGCGATGAAAGATCAACTGTGCTAGCATTTAACACCGTTACCCCTTAGAACAGTGCCATCCTCTCTCTGCAGGTAGGAAGTCGCACCCGTACTGCTGGACTTTTGCCAGGCAACGGTCCTCGGAAAGCATAATTCATTATTCTCACAAACCACGGGAATAAAAAGTGTTGTTCTGCCATTTTGAGAGGGAGGGACCCACCCAACATGTTTACATCCCCATGGCAAAGCACCAAGGACCACGGGAAAGATGCCTGCCAGAAACACAGAACCGAGTGGGAGCTGGGAATGCAACACGACCAGAGGACAGTGAAACAGATGTGGCGTATCAGATCTTCTGCTGTAATTTCAGTTATTTCATTTCAGAGATGTTATCGCTTTCAGGCCAGGAATGCACAACTGTCAGGTCAGGATCTTCATAAAGAATCATGAAGGGAATGAACAGGAGGAAAAGAAGAAAGTTTATTCCTAATATCTTGGCTCAGAAAGGGCTGCACATGAGCCCACTGTTTTTTTGTGTGGGGGGGCGAGAAATGTTTCTTACAAGTTTACGCTGAAACAGCACTGGGTCGCCCTAGAGTAGTCAGGATAGAAGAATGGTTTTGTTTAATTTTAATTTTTATTAATGTTTGGTACATTCCCTTTATTCTTCAATTTTGTTTCCTCTTCAGGAATCTGTGGTGGGGTGACATACTTAACCCCCCCCACCCCCCACCCTGGCAGTTGATAGGTCTCTCTGGTTGGGGTGTGAGGGACTGAGACCCAGTAATTTAACAAAAGGTTTCTGAAACTTCTACAAAAGAGATGACTTGTCAGGAATGGTATGTTGCTTGAAAATTGTAAATGATTTGGTGAATTACAAAATTGATTTTATGATTATTTAAAAAGTAAAATACCCTTTAGAGTTGTCCATTACACTTTAAAATTCACAACAAGTTTCTTCTCAAAAATAAATGTTAAATATATATATTTAAAACATAAATTTATTCACAAAGGTGACATTAACATTTATGGAGATCTTATTTCAGAACAGGTTATTGTCTGTACAATGTCTTTGACTTTTATAGTAATGCTCACTCAGCACCAGCTGAAACTGGTTTCATGCATCTTGAAGCAGTAAAGCAAAATAATTTGAATGGCATTGAGATTGTCAGCCTTATATGTCCACAGGAAGATTTCTGGTACTCATTTCTGTTAAGAGGCTGCGTCGACCTCAGGGCCATAGTGCGGCTGGAAGTATTAGGCCAGTTGAAAAATCCAATGACATGGGGAATCGAAGCTGTGACCTACCAGATTGAAGCATACTGCCTCAACTACACTACTGCATGCCCCTGTATATGGTGTTGTACAAAGTAAAATGCATCTCTTCAGTGGTCAGTATCAAATTAACATAATGGCAGCCAGCATTAGGGGCGGGTATCCAACTCAAGACATGAAGTAGTGGTGATGCCCTACGGTAAAATGAATTTTTTTTTTCCTTTTATTGCTAGTGGGGTGGGACTAAGTCCCTCGTACTGCGGCCACTTCTGGCCTATTGTACCAGCCCAAGATGATAGGCAAGGGTGATTGTGGAGCAGTTGGTGGAATGAAGATTACCAGGGGAAACCAAAGTACTCAGAGAAAACCTGCCCCAGTGCCACTTTGTCCACCACATATCTCACGTGACCAGATCCGGGATCGAACCCGGGCCGCCACAGTGGGAAGCCAGTGACTAACCACTTGAGCTATGGTGCGGCCCTACAGTAAAATGGTTACTGGCTTCACTTTCATATTCTTGTTCCATGTTAAAAACATGTCGAGTTACTTGAATCTGAAATCGCTCCAGATGCACACTTGTCAGTAATATTCAGTGATACTGAGTGCAATCAGATACCGCGGGCTGGCTTCGTAAAGATCCATTGTTTCACTTACTCATCAACTTCAAGAACTGAAGCAGCACATTCCTCCGAAATGTCGATAGGCTTAAACCGAACTACACAGCGCTAAATTCCAGAACATGGTACTCGTCATGGATGAGCTTCAGATTACCGTTTTCTGGAATGTGACGCTGTGTAATTTCCTAGATAGGAACCAGCATTTTGAAGAAACATACTGCTTCCAACTGCTAGCTTCATTTAGATTGGTTTAATCTCGTTGCCGAACTGAGTGGCTAGTTCTAGTCTCAATATCATATCCCCCACCCACACACACACACACACATTTATTCTACTTTTATGTCCCTTGGCGTAACACATATACTTTTTATGTTCTCTTAGGTATCATTTTAATTCTTGTATTGGGGTTGTCTGGTTGAGGGGTAGTTTTGCTATTGTCTAGCATGCTCACAGCTAGTGCATTAATGAGGTTTTCTAATTTTCCACAAGTCTGAGAAGGATATCAGTACAATCAGAAACCACTGTTACAGTATATTTTCTGAATTATTATTATAAACATAAAATGTTATAATACAATGAGTACCAAATCTAATGTTTCTAACAAATAATAATAATAATAATAATAATAATAATACATTCAAATATTTATAAATTACAATTAATATGTTTAAGAAAATTTTGTTAAGTTTTTAAACCAAATTGGTTTGTGTCGTTTTTATTTCTTTTCTTTGAAGGAAGCCAAGAATATGCCACCTTGTGGTTCTGTTGTTTGGAGAATAAGATCCTTCAGTGTCGTCCTGTTGATGTTTGAGGCAAGCTGTGTTGTTATACAAACGGTGGACGCTACCATCTTCACATAGCAACAGGTCACAACGACTGAATGGTAGCAGTCCTCTAACTAATTTACTCACTCACCAACTGACTCCACTCCACTGACTGACTGACTGACTGACTGACTGACTAACTAACTAACTCCACACTATCAGGCCTGCTTCTACCACCTCGGTATGGTACACACAGAAAGCACTGTTACTCTGTCGCTGTTTACGTGACGTTGCCTAGTAACGGCCGTTTCTTTCTCTTTCTTTGCCTAGCAGTGGTTCACATGCCACATCGCTCCCCACAAGCCTACAGCCATAAGGCCATTTTGTCTCTTCCGGGGCTGTTTTCCTGGCGTCAGAAATGGGCCTCGTCTTCCATCCCTGTGACTCGATTCTGGCGGTAATTCCTCTTCTACTCCTCCTGCTACTCACTTCTTAAGGCCTCTCATCCTGAGCAATTCCCTGACAAGATGCGAGCTGGTCCAGGAGTACCAGAAGCATCCTCGATCGACGGTTCCCCTGGATCCTGTACAGCACATCGTTTGTCTGTGTGACTGCCATGACTGTTGGAGGCTGGATGGCTTTCATTCAGTCTGGATTGGACTACAGAATCACAGCTAGTCACGCTCCGTGCCAGGTGGGTTTGCAGTGTGCTTTAATTCTGTCGCTGGCGCCTTCCTCCAGGTGTCACCCTTGGCCTTTACTTGTATCTTGCTATAGTCCATCTTCTCGCTATATATCTTCACATTACTCCGTCCAGGCCTGTGGTACGTGCTGCTCTGAGACACGGCCTTGGCTGTCCTTGCCTTGAGATTTGGGGGTTGTGCCATACCCACTCCCATCTTCAGTGGAAGTTCCTTCTTCTTTTCGACCGTAGGTTTGGAAGCTGCAATATAGCTTCCCTTCGTCCCCTCATCTCGACAGGGGACTCCATGGTTGCCTGATGGCCTTCTATCTCTTCCGTAATAATCAAAGGCAAGCTCTCCATCTTAATCTTCATAGGATCCACCTCATCCTGAGGATGTGCATCTTGTTCGTCTTCTTCCATTATTATCGGCATTTCTCTTTGTTGGAATCTGAGGGAGTGCTCATCACGCCCTCACCTTCAAATTCCTCACTGAACTCCCCTCATTCCGAAAGTGAGGAGGTTGTTCCTTTTCCATCTCTATTGTCCTCACTGAATTCAGCTGATCCTGAAAGTTGGCATCATCTCCGTGTTCGTCTTCATCTTCATCTTCTTCTATTATAGGCAGCATGATATGCGCCCCGCATTATTTTAATCGGAGCAGTTGCTGTTCTCTCCTCAACGCAAAATAACTTTCTGAATATTTTTTGTTGTCAACATGAACAGGGCGTTCCTCTTTGTCCTCCACTGTCCACACTGAATTCAGCTGATCCTGAAAGTTGGCATCATTTCCGTGTTTGTCTTCATCTTCATCTTCTTCTATTACAGGCGGCATGATATGCACCCCGCATTCTTGGAATCGGAGCAGTTGCTGTTCTCTCCTCAACGCAAAATAACTTTCTGAATATTTTTCATTGTCAACGTGAACAGGGCGTTCCTCTTCGTCCTCCATTGTTCTCGCTGAATCCCCCTCATTCTGAAAGTGAAGATGTTGATCTATTGCAATCTCCATTGTCCTCATGGAATTCAATTGATCCTTAAAGTGGTCATCATTTTCGTCATCATCTTCCTCTACTTTTAACGGTATTGTATACTGAAGTTGCTGGTTTCTGAGGTATTGCTCTTCTGCCCTCACCAACAAGTTCCTCATTCTGAAAGTGGGGAGGTTGTTCTTCCTCCTCCATCTCAATTGTCCTGGTGGAATCACTGAGTAACTGATTACAACATTCTCCCTGAGCCTTCATAATCATGCTAATTTTATCCAACTCATTCCTTAACTGAACAAGTTTTTCCCCTACCTCAGAATGTGTGAAGCTCCTCCTGGACCCAGGCACTTGGTTTTGTCGATTTTTCCATTTTGACCACCGTGTCTCTCATGTTCCCTGTATGAAACCCGCCAAAGGTGGCACCACACGATCACACACACAGTGATTGTGATGAGGCTGAGGAACAGCGGGCCACCAAGTAGCATCCAGAAATACTCTTATTCTTGTGACCTTCTCCGCTGAAATGCCCAGTACCCTGCATATTCTGCTTTCTTTCTTCTAGTGGAGGTTCCAGCTACAATTCTTTCTGAGTCTTGGATTGGCTGCAAGGTTCAGACAGTTTCAGATGTTGCGATGGGTTCAGGTGCTGTGATAATTTCTGGTACTGGTAATGGTACAGGTGCTGGCATCACTTCAGGTGTTGGGATGGGTCCAGGTGCAGTAGGTAGTTCAAATTCTGGGATTTTAGGGTACTCGGGCACAATTCACTGATGCCTATGGAGGTGCGGGCGCCACCACACTACTACTAATACTACTACTACTACTAATAATAATAATAATAATAAAATAAATATAAATTTAATACTGACTAATTCTCTTGTTTATATAATTATATTTACTTACAATCTTACATAATTAAGAGTTCAGTTTGACACTGCATGTTAGCTGCAAGTTGTCGAAAATCTGATGTGTAGCTGGAACAAGCTGCTCTTAGTGCATCGTTTAAGTGTGAGTCTGTTAGGCAGGATCGGTACTTATTTTTGATGATGCTCGTTGATGAAAATGCGACTTCGCACAGAGACATCGAACCAAAACAAGAATACATTTTCAGAGCAATGCTATGAATCGTGGGATATTTATTCCTGTCCACCAGAGTCCAGAAATTGCTACAGGTTGCAAATGAGGATTTCAAAGATATGTCTTCTTGGAAATTTAAAATTTCCATTTCTAATTCTTCAAGATTATACTTTCCGAAGATCTCACACAACTCCCCTCCAAGTTCACTAACGTCAACAGTAGCGAATGGGTTACTGATAAACATTGTCACTGGTTCAAATGTTGAAAACTGGCTAATTCTGTTACCAGATTTGATCAAAAAGTCTTCAAGATGCTGGGAAGATTTCCACAACAGATTTCATATGTGAAAAAGTGTGAAAGGGAATTTCTGTTTAAATGTGAAATCCATAGCTTTAGTTTCTTTTGAAAAGCATTAACTACACTTATCATACTTGAAATGTTACGATCTTTCCCTTGTAATTCAAGATTTAACTCATTTAATTTTGAGGTAATGTCTGTCAAGAAAGTTAAATCTAGTAGGCATGACATTTCATCAAGTTCTTGATAATACCTGTATTGTCCAGGAAATGATTTCAGAAAGTCCCTGACCTCATCCAGAAGACAGCAAAATCATTCCAGTGTTTTCCCCCTACTAAGCCACCTTATGTCTGCATAGAAAATTGTCACCATGCTCAGTGTTCTACACATTCGAAAGATTTCTGAACAATCGACGAGTAGAAGACAATCTGATATAATTTACCACATGAGTTACTACATTCATAACATGGTCGAATTTCAGAAGTTTTGCGCGTAAAGCTTCCTGGCGGATAATGTAGTGATAAGAAAAAACATTGGGAAATGATTCATCCTTAGCACAAAGAGCAAGAGACCCATCCTACCAGTACTTGACGGCCCCCCATCTGTAGTTATAACATCAAGTTTTGATATAAATATAAGGAACACAGTAAGTATCTCTTCTCCCCTAGTACGTTCATGAAGTGGCAGCTGTTTAACGAACTCTTCCTTTACCGTAAAATCGCCAAAAACCATTATAACAAATACATATACAGAGTGATTCAGAAAGATGGACACAATTTCAATTGACTATATTTCCTGTACTGTATGTTGCATTTGAATTCTGTAAAGTACATTTGAAAGAGGATGTTACAAAGTTTCTAGTACTACCGCTAGTGCCCTCCATCACTGCGTCCCGGGCCGATCGCGTGTATCGGAGGAGAACGTGGAGTGCATTCGAGTGAACTTTGAGCGCAGCCCAATGAAGTCAACCCGTAGTGCTAGTAGAGAACTTGGACTATCGCAAACAACTGTGTGGCGTGTACCACCTCTTCCCACAAATTTGAATGACCTAAGAAACTATCACAGCTGCGGTGAACTCAGTGACGCAAGATATTTGTCATCGAGTGTAGGATGAATTCAGCTACTGTCTAGATGTTATCCGTGCAGCCGGAGGAGGGGGGGCACATTGAACATCTGTAAACTTCCATGTATGTATAATCAAGTGTAATTTACAGAATTCAAATGCAACATATAATTCAGGAAATATAGCCAATTGAAATTGTGTCCATCTTTCTGAATCACCCTGTAATTGTGCAAAATCAGATATATCGGTGCTTTCATCAAGCTGGAGTGAAAAATATTCACACGATTTCAAATCCTGATGTATTTGAGATTCCACATTATCAGAAATCTGTTCAACTTGTCTAGCAGCAGTTTGGTGAGACAACTGGAAGTCCTTTGATGGAAGACATAAGTGCAGATTTATCTTTGTGACCATCGCCAGCACTGATCATAGCTTCTTTAGCTATTTCCCCATCACTGAAAGGTTTTTTCCTTTTAGCTAACACATGACAGATTTTATAAGAAGCTATTGTTACGTTACTACTGTGCTGGAGAGTATTTGTAAATACACATTGTTGNGAGAAATTGTGAGAGCCGGGATAGCGTAGCCAGTGTAATGACTGGCTACGGGCTGGAAGACAGAGGGGTCGGTGTTCGAGTTCCAGTAGGGTGAGCTGAGACTCCCCCTTAACTTGCCGGGGGGGGGGACGCCGCTTCCGTCTCCTAGTTCTCGCTGTTGCGTCTAATCACTCCCGGTGTTCACAAAATCCATAGGGTGTTCCAGGGTCATTACCCAACCTTCCGCACCGCAGTCTCGTAGTGATACACACGGCAGCCGAAATCACCAAATTGGCTGTCCACCGTGCATTGACAGTCCCCAATGCAGACGTACCCTAGCGCTGCTCGGCAATCACAGTAAACCACTCCCAGCACCGTCGGAAATAGGGCCCATCCGGAGCACCGGCCGGGAGCAGCAAGCAACTGAGAAGACGTCGCCGCGGGGCGGCGTATGTTGTTCGACGCTGATGAGCCCTCCAAAAGGCGGGGGTCCCGCACTCCCCGAAGACACGGCTAAGTGAATGGTAAGGGTTAAGGAGGACAGGGCTAAGTCTCCACCTGGAACGTACACCATCATCAACACATATAAAATATAATTTTATGTACACCCTGAATATACAGGGTGTCCCAGGAGGAATGTGCCAAACTTCGGGAGGGTGTTCCTTATGTTAAAGTATGCCGATATAACCCAAAACACCTATGTCCAAAGTTGAACGGTTACGGAGATAATGGCCCAAGAAAAGTGTGGTCTTCTGGCAGGTCCAAGCACTGTACCTCGCTGTACCTCTCAGCTGAGAGCCCTTATCTATGTTTGTCCTTGAGTGCGATGATACTCCCTAGCCGTGCTTATGTAGTTGGCTCATACCAGAACGCGCAGTCAGCACGTTACGTCATCGCTCGCCAGTCATGTGTTATGTATACTGCTTGGAAACCTAAGGACAATTATGACATGACGAGCGAGTATTTTGTACTTCACTTTTATGGCTTTCCGTCACTCACAAGTTAGTTTGATGTTACGTACATTATTAACGTTACAGAATCCACATATTCCTGCCAGTTTTAATATGTATTTTGTAATCAACAAGTGTGTAACCCCGGTAATCATCAACACATATATAAAATATAATTTTATGTACACCCTGAATATATAATGAATTCAACATACCAAGCTGAATATACGAGTAACTACCCCGCCAAAATATATGGCTTGAGTTGTGATATGTGGGCTTTTCTTATGATAACCCCAGTTTCAGGGTTGGCCAGAAGGACCGTCACCGGCGATACAAACTTAGTAATGATGAGAGGTACCGACCACTTGAGATCGAGCTTGGCGGAGCGCTGGCGTGACTTAGAACTCAGCGGATGCTAAACTAAACTACGAGTAAAACCGAGTCCCCCACGCGAAACTCTCCCAGCACTGTACCTGGCTGCCACCCTAGCCCGAGCTCCCCTCAAATTAGCGAGGGCAGCCTCCCAGTATTCACCCATATTCTTGGAGTCCCGCTGGAGCTCCAGCTCACGAAATTCCCATTTAAGGCACAGGGGATGCTTCATTTCCCTCCCCAAAAATAGGGAAGCCGGAGTCGCTCCCGTCGACTCGTGCCACGCGTAAAGGCAATGGACAAAGAGGGCAGGTTTTCGTCCCAACGAATGTGTTGACGGTGGTGATAAATGATCAGGGCAGCCTTCAAATTCCGATTAAACCGCTCAACCTGAGAAGCTTGGAGGTAATAAGGTGAAGTCGTGATGTGGCGAATGCCCCAAGAGAATCACAGGTTGTAGAACCGCCGCGACTTGAAGACTGCAGCATTGTCGGAAACGATAGCCTGGGGGACGCCGAACTTGGGGAAGAATTTCTCCACGAGGCAGTTTTCCACTACTTCGGACGAAATTTTCCTCACTGGATACATAGACACAAACTTATAAAACCCGTCTAACACCACCAATATGGCTACGTTCCCCTTCCGACTCCTGACAATCGGCCCAAGAAAATCAATAAATATCCGTTCTAGGGCCTCGTCACAATTTCGCTGCTATGGAGACCCACCCTAGAATCTTGGGCGGGCTTGGCCCTCTGACAGTCCTGACAGACCCTTACGAACTTGCAGATTTCCGACCTCATATTCGGCCAATAAAAGACCTTCGCGATCCGGCTAAGCGTTTTGTTTAGCCCCAAATGCGCACTCAGCGTAGACCCGTGGAAATACTCAAGCACCATGGGCCTGAGTGTCTCCGGAAGGACCTAGCGCTTAGCGCTGGCCCGAGAAGGAAGATACAGAAGAGCCCCATTAAGTAACTTGAATTGCTTAGCCACAGAGTCGTTCCGGGCAACTTTCGCTTATATGTCCTTACAAAAGGAGTCCTCCTTTTGATATTCGCGGACTGATCGGAACGCCTCAGGCAGATGTTGTG